ACTTTGAAATCATCATTCAAATGCCTAAAACAAAGATGGATTTATGAAATATAACCAAAATCGAGCATATAACACTTACCCCAATCCATATAATGAAAATCACCTCCAAATATTGTCTAAATTTTAGCTTTCTAACTCAAAATATGACCAAATGAACAAACTTTCGATATTAAGTATTCTTGCCCAGTTGTTCTGCCTCGTTTTGCATGCAAAACAATCCCGCAACTCGTTTTTGATGCCTCCAATGATTCCTTGTGAAATTTCAATTTAGTTAGGCTTTTAAATCACTCTATTTGACCTTATAATGAAGGAGATATATTGGTTTAAATATTTGGAAATAGTGCAGATTTTTAAATACGAAGTCAGTGGCAGTTTCGTAATTAATCTGAAAAATTTGGCAGCCCAATTCTTAGTAAAATGATCATAAAATCCTCATACGATGTCCAAGTTTGACGATTCTTTTTGCTATGGCTCCTTAATTACGATACGAATCTAATGTTTCAATCAAAACAGAAATCGGAGCTCATTTGCTTAATGTGGTACCAATGCTTGAAGAAACGACGTCGAAACATAAGAAAAACGAGTGCAACACAACCCAAACTTATCTGAAACTCACCCGAGCCCCTCGGGACACCATACGAACATACCAAAAAGTCCCATAACAAAATACGGACCTACTCGAGGCCTTAAATCACGTATAACAACATCGAAATGACGCAACGCACCTCAAATCAAACTTAATGAGCTTTCGAACTTTCGACTTCCAAAAACTCGCGCCGAAACATATCAAATCAACTCAGAATGAACTCAAATTTTGCACACAAGTCCTAATACATCATACGGAGCTACTTGTGTCCCCAAACTCAAGCGAAGCGCAAATTTTCAAAACGACCGATCAGGTCATTAAATTTAAGGTCCAAATTGTGTAGCAACGAGTATCGGATGATATCATCATTCTCCTAGCTGAAGTAGTACCTGAGTGCTGCAACAATTTTTAAGAGCTTATTTTCCAATTTCAAATACGTAGAGTAACCAAAATCATGTAAAAATTATTAAGTATTAGTTTTAGGATAAATGACACTGTATAACCGCTCTCAAAATAATAGTCGAAAACATGTATATGTTTTGTATATATATAGCGAATGTAAATAGTTCTGACGCATGCTAAAAGTGATATTAGCCCGTAGTTTTACGCAGGATGTTAGCACAATTCCTCGCTTTTATTTGGGCTTGAGGTAGAATGTAATTTGCGACTCACATCCTTAATTTTTTTAAAAACTAAAACAAGGTTATAAATGAAAACTTAGATAAATAAAGGTGAAACAGCCAAAAAATATAACTTCATTAAAAATAAGATAGAGGGGAGCATCTTTTTAACCTAAATGCCTAAATGTAAAAGCATAAACTAAAATACCTTTTAGCAAGCTTGAAATTCGCTTATAGAGATGAGTGAACACAGTATACAAAGTTGTTATCATATAGAGAGGATTAAAAAGCAATTCAGACTCTTTTTGATCAATATTTATTAGATTAAAAATTAAAAGTAGAAAATATGGAGTAAAAAATATTGTACCGAAAAGTTATGTTTTTCGGCAACTGTGATTTTTGAGTGAGCTGGTGAAAGTCTTATAATTTTTTTATATTAGAAAACATAATAATATGATTTTTATACGGGGCGCCCTATTTGGTCGCTTCCATTTAACTTATACCCATATTTTTAAAATTATTTAACCTATACCTAATTTTGACAACTTCAGACACCTCCTCTTCTTCCTCCTGACCTATGTGCTCCTTTCTTCCTCCTCTTCTTTTCTGATGAGGCTGAGAGCAGCTCAGCTTAGGATCTGACCAAACCCATTATTTTTTCCCCTTTTCGAAGAGGTAGTGCTTTTGAGATAAATAGTGTAAAAGGATGCCAGTGATTTTGAGCTGACCATTTTCCCTTGACCAACCAAAAGTAAAGATCGCATTGTGCAATTTCATCACTGAAAATTATGCGCAGAATTTTCTTCAACTGCTGCCAAAATCTCAAAACATCACCGATGTGAAAATTTGCACTACAAATTATTTGAAGTTTAACTATCTGAAGGCCAAATATAACAAGCTGATTTTGTCCTGAAGTTTGCACTACAAATTGAAGAATAACTTCAGACTAATTTGTCTGAAATTTGCACTATGAAGTGAAGTTTTCCCCGTTACTAAAAGGTAAGTTTTATAGAGCAGTGGTTAGGCCTGCCATGTTATATGGAACTGAATGTTGGCAGGTAAAGAACTCACACATCCAGAAGATGAAAGTAGCAGAGATGAGGATGTTGAGGTGGATNGGAAAGTTGTGAATATTTCTACAGCACAATAGAGTGAGACTAGCCAGTTAGGAGTTAGACTAAGAATGTCATTGGTCGTCTATTGATGCAGAGCTTTACCTGCTAGTTTTTACTATACCAGCCATCTATTTCGTATTTCGTATTCTGTATTTCATATCTCTTATATTGTTGTTATTTTATTATGCATTTTTATGGTACTAATATATCGTCTCCTGTTGCTTTTTTTTTGAGCCGAGGGTCTCCTGGAAACAACCTCTCTACCCTTCGGGGTAGGGGTAAGGTCTGCGTACATATTACCCTCCCCAGACCCCACTTGTGGATTATACTGGGTCGTTGTTGTTGTTGTTGAAGTGAAGTTTTCCCAATTACCTTTGCAAGTTAGGCCAAACTTTAGGTGAAAATATTTTGAAGTTTTGCTTTAATAAGGCCACACTTCAGACAAAAAAATTCTCAAATTCAAACCCCAGACATACACAATTGAACTGAAGTTTGCCCTTACTATGAACTGAAGTTTGCATGATTGCCTTTGCAAGTCAGGCCAAACTCATGCAAAAGTATCTGAAGTTTTGCTTTGATAAGGCTACACTTCAGGCAAAAAATTCTGAAGTTCAAACTTCAGATATACACAATTGAACTGAAGTTTGCCCTTGCACTATGAACTGAAGTTTGCGTGATTGCCTTTGCAAGTCAGGCCAAACTTGAGGCAAAAATATTTGAAGTTTTGCTTTGATAAGGCTACACTTCAGGCAAAAAAAATTGAAGTTTATTTCAGGCCCGTATGTCTGAAGCTACCCGAAAAGTGGGTACACTTGCAATTTTTTGTGCAAAACGGATATAAGTTAAATGATGACCCAAAAACTGAGTATAGATACAAAGCCCCAAAAAAGTTAAATAGTTAAATAATCATTTGTGAGATTTACTCTTTGAATAGAAGTAGCCTTATAGAATACGAGTAGGTATCCAAAGTGGTGCACTCGTGGAAGCAAACAGAAGGAAGTGCCATGAGAATACATAGCCTCAAAGAATATACGTAGTGAAATCAAGTAAAGCTAACAATAGAAATGTAGAATAGAGGATTTCTAGTACAGTAAAGTTAGTTCAACCTCCAATATTTTGTAGGATCGAATACGTTAGCCATGGCTAGAAAATCTCTGAGTTGCATTCTCAAAATAAAACCACAATATCTGTGGCCAGTCACTAAGATTGCTTAAAACCATCAAACCTTTTTGACAAGTTGATTAAAAAAAATCCTTTTTCTTTATCTTTTGAAATCGACTTTCTTCGAATTAATAGTCAAAATATTAGCATGAGGGGAAGAGAATAGTTAGTGAAAGAAACAAGAGTCTAGCATAAGCAAAACAAAGACAAATATCTCAAAGCATTATAAATATTTGACAAATTGGAGGATATAATCATAGATTATATGCATGTTGTTGATTGTTTAGAAGCATCTAAAATACTAACAAGCAATCAAATGTTCCTAAAAAACGGGTAGCCTGGTGTACAAAGTATTCCGCGTTCACACACACTCTTCAAGGTGTAATGTAGACAACCTACTCTAATGCAAGCATTAGTGACTGCTTCCATAACTCGAACCCGTGCGGAGATAACTTTATCGTTGCTTCAATGCTCCCTTCAACTGTTTCTATTTTTAAATTAGTTGAAATCGACTAAATGGAGATCAAATTTATTCAGGTTCATTTCATTCGAATGGGAAACATAGACCAAGAAATTCTATGACCCATGGCTTTAGGTTAGAGTTAAGATTCTGAAATTCCATTCCCTAGAATCCAACTTTAATTATCCCGTCACAGCATAATCCCTTTTCCCCATTGAGAATAGCATTCTGTGGTCATTTCTGTCAACTTTAAGCCAATCATTGACTAGTCACCCCACCCCACCCCACCCCCAACTACTCGAGAGATGATTTTAAATGTTCTTATCTTCTTTTTTGTTTAAGTTTCTTGTCCTTCAAAGTAAAATTAAGTTAACCTCAAAAAGGAAATGCAAGTACATGAAAGAACAAGAGCACATGTTCTCTTCCTTAAAGCGGAGAATATATCATGCAATTAACACAAAGGAAACAACAAAGGATAAGAAGAGCTAGAAAATAAATTGGATAGAAAAAAGCAAACGGGGTTCTGCTCAGAGAAAACAACAGTCGTGGCTTTTTGGCAACACCAAGGATAAATTAGGTACTTTCTTGTAATATATTAGGAGAAAAGGTCCAGATTTATCCTGTAGTCCACATTTATTCTCCGATATACTTTCGGTCTAAATTTATCCCACCCGTTAGGAAAGTAATAGAAAATACTGGTCTGACATGGGTGAGATAGATAGTACGTGGTATGACATCTCACCACCTTCTTCCCCTTCCATTTCTTCTTCCACCCCCACACCTAGAATGGAGGTTCCAAAATTTCTTCATATATCTTTCCAAAGTCCCACATAAAAAGTAGAAAAAAAAAAATTCTTTGGGGAAAACCATGCAGGGTTTGGCCCAAAGCGGGCCCAACACATGTTTTATCCTAAAAACTCTGCCAGGCCAAGTTGTCACAAACCAAGATTTTCTAAGATGACTAGTGTTTTGTTTTACATTGATGGGAGAAAAGCTTCCCAGTTGCTGTCCTCTCTGTTTATCCTTTCCCTTGATGAAGCCGAGGTTGATCCCTTCAAAAATTAAGAGTACTTAAAAACAATCATATGTCAAAGTCTTTGTGAAGAGATTTACTCGATACCTATGTTAGCAGGATTAAAATGCACAAATTCCAATATATATTACTATTAAGTACCACACTCATAAGCAAAAATGAATCTGGTTATATCTCAATGAAAGAACATTAAAATACTTGAAAACTTTCATATTGATCAATGATGTGGAGCAAGCCATCAGAGAAAGTATTTAGCATATGAGAGCTAGCAGCTGCTACAACTACCCTTATGCCAGCAAAACATTTGAGATTCTATTTACCACTTCAACTATATAAAGGTTGTAACAGATTCCTTTAAACTGCATACAAAATGCATTCCTCCAAACTCCATAAAATATTCTAACATATCAGAGTCACCTGATTCTTTTTTCTGCAAAACTTCAACTGAAACTAATGTGCATATCATTGTCAAAGATGAGGAATTTTCACTTAATTTTTGAATCAAATTTGTACCTAATTAAACATAGAAAACATAAGCCTAACCAATAATAATGTCAATTTTTCTTTTTCCTTTTGGCACCTAGCATTTCTTAATTTTGCAATGCAATAACCTCATTTTGTTCAACAGCTGCAGATTTCAACTAGTATTCTCAATAGCCAAAATGTAGACCTAGGTTCCAATGCTTAGAATGCGAATTTATTCTGCATTGGCTGTTCATCAGTTGATAATATTCTTTGCTTATTTTAATAGGCTGTGTTAATATCCAGGTTATAATCCATTAGCCAAAACATGAAATGAAGGGTGTGGCATGCTTTTCAACTAACATATCATAGCCATTAAATGAAACTTGAAGGACTGATCCAAGATAATATTCAAAGTATAAATAATCTCCAGGATCAATTCCTTGATAACAGTAACAAGATTCTCCTTTGAAAATATTATCCAATGTAATCGTCTATATCTATACAGTAGATTGAAATGCTACACAGCTCAATTTATACTAAACAGCTGCATATATATATGTGCACTACACTCGTTTTTATTCATTGTAATGGTTCCTAATATATTCCTATGAGTAAACATGAAAAGGCAGATATACACTTAGTAAAACAAAGTAAACGAGGCAGAGGTGCAAAATAGGCTAAACATTTCAGAAACAGCTTAGTACGAGTTCCCTGATTTTTCCTATACAAACTTAACAGAAACTCCTAAAAGAGAAGGGCAAAAAGAGTTTCACAATATAAGGATGTTTCTTTTAAGAAGAAAACTAGTCATTCAACATATGAGGAGATAAATGAAGATTCTCAAGCTTGTCCAAGAAAATAGAACTATGATTAAAAACAAAGTGAACTGTATCTTTATGTGGCGTATGGGCACATTTCAACCCATAAACGGGCATAAAAGTTATCTTGTAAGACCAGGATATATAGATTCATTAAGTGTACCTCCAAAACCAATTAAGATTTAAGTCAAGGGAAAGGTAAATAGGGATCTTCAGTTGCGAGTTGTCATGTTTTCCATCAGACAAGTATTGATTTATTTATTCTTTTGAAAGGGGTCCCAATGCTTTGGAGATGGCCATTTCATACCAATAAAAGAATAGAAAACTTTTAGCTGGAGGTCCTCTTTTCTCTATTTTAGGCTGAATAAGTACCAAATTTACTGAAGGAGACCACAAGAAAGTATTCTTCATTCGATTCCTAGCCTTCAGACCAAGCGAAGAAGCATCTCTCCACTATTTCTGGTTATTTTTATTTCTTCATCCATTTTCCCTATTCACACAATTTTATAATAGATAAGTAGTATGAAAAGAATGCTTAAGATATTCAAGAAATTCATATCACTATGTACAGGCCAAGATGTTGTACTAAAGTCATTAACCATCCAAAACCGGCATGCTTGTGACTATCCCGTGTCTAAACATCATAGCACTGGACAGAGCACCAGAGGCACTGCCTCAGGCCCCAGCACCAACATAAATTGCCCACCCCGCTCCCCACTTAAAAAAAACATGTGAGACCTCGAAAGGGCATTCACACTTCACAAAAATAGATGAAATTTCGCCTCATACCTTAAATGAATATATGCAAGCACAAATCTACAGAAATGGGGAAACGAAATTAGATGGCATAACATGGCTTAACAAACAAATAAGAAGAAAATTCATTACTAGCAAAGGTTTGGTAAAACAATGAGATTTAGAAACTCAAAGACACTAGATTATCTACTTTTGCCAAGACAAACTATAATCAACATAATATTCATAAAACATCCATAACTAAACAAACTGAAACCAAAGAAAGAATGTTCATTTCTTCTTGTTTAGGCATTCAATAGGAGAAGCATCTGAACCATTTTCTTACCTTTTTGCCTTTTTTCTTGCATGTATCTAATTCCCAGTACTAGATGCTCCAGTCAATAGAATCTTCCATTCGAAAACGAAGATGGTTTTGTAGTTTTCAAGACATCATAGATAGTGGATTCCGCCAGTCTCCATCAGGACAAAAAAATATTCCACTATTAGTTCTTGGAATATGATTCCCAAACTTTGCCAGATAAAGAATATGTGTGCATAAGAAAAAGTCTTTGGTGGATCAATTCTTGTACCTATTGTAAGGTGTGTAAGTGTTTCAGGAACTTATAGTGCAGAGGAATATAATGCATGGTGCCTTTCCTGTAGATTAGAAAGCGAACTTGCATTCTGGACCCACAAATGTGTAAAACCAACATCTTTTTCTTTAGCTGCTATTAATTAGATTGGTCGAGAGTCGGAGGCAAATTCAGGATCTAGAATTATTGAGTTCACAATGAGTGTAATCTTATTATATGTATAGACTTTAAATGTCTTTCTTCTTCTTATATATACCTAGTTCGAGCTGAAAACAATTGGTTCAGTTAAACCCATAGAACCTCCCTTGCATCTTATTTGTGGATTTGGTCAAAGAAAACAAGGAGATATATATAGAGCTGTAGCTGACAACTTTGTTTAACCAAATGAAAAACAATGTTATATACTGCGAAGAATAGTAAAGAATCATTACTTGCAATTCAAAAAGGTAAGACAAGAGTGGAGTCACTGAACCTGAAGCGACATCAGATTCCTTCCACGTACGTGATAAATACTTTCAGTCGCCCATCATTCCTATAAATCCTACCGTAAGACTTATTTGCTGATCATCATATATTCATATTCAAAGGCCAGAAGATGTACCATCAACACCACCAAACTGCCAATATGCACCCTTCGACAAGAATGTCTTTCCCTGAAAGGCATCTGTTCCTGCAAGGTGGGAATGTCAATGGAGACTCAGGGCTTGTTCTTTCTACCGATGCTAAGCCAAGATTGAAATGGACAGCAGACCTCCATGAGAGGTTTATAGAAGCAGTTAACCAACTAGGTGGAGCAGACAGTAAGTGCACACAAAATTTGTTAATTTGGATAAGCACCAGATGCATGTTATCTCTCATTGAGTTGATTAAATTACCATTCTTCTATTGCAGAAGCCACTCCGAAATCAGTTCTGAAACTTATGGGGATCCAGGGACTAACCTTGTACCACTTAAAGAGCCATCTTCAGGTTAGTTTTTATTCACTCCATGGTTTACAAAATACATGTGAAGAAACTAGACATTTCATAACATAGCTGCCACAAACCATTCAAAACAAAACCATTTGGTTAAGAGTGAAAAACATCTAACTGCAAAGACGGTTAAAATTTGTTTATGTCAAATGACTGAAGAGCAAAGCTGACATTCAGATATGTTTGAATTGCTCAATAAAATCTGATCTTCTATTTTTTCCTGGCAGAAATACAGACTAAGCAAGAACCTCCATGGACAAGCAAATATTAGTGGGGTCAATAAAGCTGGTACGAAATCCAATATTGTTCAAGGATATATAAATCCAAAAAGCTTCTTCTACAGAGAGAGAACACTCATAAATTTATTGTTTTTAAATAATTGTAGCAGCAGGTATAGAGAAGATATGTGAGAGCACTGGAACCCCTATGAGCCATCCAAGTATTGGACCCCAACCAAACAAGTAAGAACTAACAAAGCTGAATTATTAATATCATCCTACTTCGTGTCTGAACCATACCTTACACTGTAGCAACCATTAAATTTTTTTGTCCAGCAACATACCAATAAACGAAGCAATACAAATGCAAATCGAAGTACAAAGAAGGCTACATGAACAGCTTGAGGTAAGAAACTGTTGCAAAATTTATCTTACATGAGAGAAGTTAGAACCATAAAAGCCAATGCGTAATATGTTAGTAGCAAAAGATGAGACATCCTGTGTCATAATCTGTGTCATAATCTGAAGAAAAGCCAGAAGCAATACATTGTCGAAACATTATAAGGCATTTTCATTTTAAGACCAGAACCATATTTCTCGTATTTGTGGAAACAAGATAACAGAATGATAGCTTGAGCAAGAAATTTAATAGTCCTAGTCCAAAATAGTGCTTTTGCTCTAAGGAGTAATAATTTAACAATGTGACCCCTCCATAAGTTTTTATTCTATCCAAACATTACGAGTAATGAAAAATCTTCCTTATGGACTCCTGATGATGACTAATTACACTCCAAATGATATATTACTTGGTCAATTTTCTAGTCCCAGATAGTGCTTCTGCTTTAAGGCTTAATGATCTAAATTATAACTCTGCATAGATTTACTTCTAGCCAAACTTTAAAAGTAAATGACAAGTTTTCCTTGCTGGCATCTAAATGAGGCATAATTGAACTGATATAGGTGCAACGACATTTGCAGCTAAGGATAGAGGCTCAAGGGAAATATTTGCAAGCTGTGCTTGAGAAAGCACAAGAAACCCTTGGAACACAAAACTTGGGAACAATCGGATTAGAGGCAGCCAAGGATCAACTGTCTGATTTGGTATCCAAAGTATCCAACCAATGCCTGAATTCTGCATTTTCAGAGATAAAAGAACTTTCAGGATTTCACAACCCACAAACACAAGCAATCCCGCCAGCAGATTGCTCAATGGATAGCTGCTTAACGTCCTCTGAGCGACCCCTGAGGGACCTGCGGGAAATGCATAATAACCAGATTGGTTTGAGGCCTTTAAACTTCGGACCATGTACGAAGGATATTGAAAATGAGACCAGGTTACAGCAGACTGAACTAAGATGGCGTGACGACCTCAAGGAGAACAGAAAACTGTTTCCCAAAATGGATGGGGATTCAGAAAAAGAATTTACCAAAGAGACAAATTGGAGCAACTTATCAATGGACATTGGACTTCAAGGAGAAAGACGGAATGTTAGCAGTAGCTACTTTGATGGAAGACTAAATGGAATAGATGCAGACATCAAACGTTTTCACCAGGATGCTGACAGAAGTGATTCAATGAAACCAGAGAAGCAGATGTCGTCACAAGGATATGAGCTGCCTTACTTTGCTCCTAAGCTGGACCTAAACACGGATGACCAAACTGATGCTGCTTCTAGTTGCAAGCAACTTGACTTAAATGGTTTCAGTTGGAGCTAACAGATCACATCTCCACAAAGAAGATGAGATGCCTGCATGGGGAAACTAAGCCTGATGCTCCTTTTAGAAGGATGAAAATAACGTGTAACAATTAGAATTTCAGATTATATATGATATTATAACAATATTGGATCTGCTAGGATCACATTTTCTGATCTAATATCTAAACTTCCGGGTTGCATAGTTTATAGCATTACAGGATATTCGTAACCTTTAGCAGTTGAGTGTTCCATGTACATATAATTATTGCAGTAAAAAGCCTTTGCAATGTCATATACAGAAACCAATTCTAATCAAACAAATCATGTGTTAAGCACTTTCCTCCATTTGCACCTTCAGAAATATTGCAAATGCTTCTTCAAATTTCAAGTTCTCATATGCTTCTTAGATCATTATTGCATCTGAAGTTACTTTAAGCGAGAATCAAGTCTTTAACTCCACAAATCAACATAAGCTCTCTGAAATATGTCTAAATATAAGGATAAGAAAACTGTATTACAAATCCAAGCTTAGGGGATGGAGAATCTATATAGGCATATTTTATATCATTCTTCCTCAATTCAAGCTCTTCAACAAAGATGAGAGGAAAGGGAAAAGAAACGAAGTTGTGTTCTTTGAGTCAGTTGATAATGATAGATTTCTACATGCTAAGGTACTGAAATTTTTATAACTAATCAGAAATAAGACCCACCGTAAAGCAGTTTTCTCAGGTATCACTCAAACAACTACCGATGAAAAGCAACACAAGTGATATAGATAACAATTTTGGCCTATGAAAGTACATAAAATATAAAAAAAGATTGGTATTTCTCTATTTTTAAACTTTTTATAGAGAATGTTTCTGCCAATTTCCTTTCATATTCCTTTAACATCAAAACTGTCTTTAAACATATTGTTTGTTTTGGATAATACACTTGGATTAATTAATAATTTTGCTCATGTATTGACCAACATCCGGAATTTCATCAACCAATAAGCATATGGCAGCAATTATCTTCATACCAAAACACTCATGTACTACATGCCATTGGCTTGAACAAACGAAATATCCTATAGATGTACACAATGGCAGAAATTCAAAGTAATAGGAGTATAATGTTTGGAGAGGCCCATTCACTCCAACCTTCGCTTAATAAGAAAATGAACCTTGGGTCTAATTCAAACCCCGAAAGCTAGCTCATGAGGTGAGAATGACCAAAGACCATATAACTTATAAGGAGACTAAATTCACGTTCCACCGACTGATGTGTGAGAAACTCAAGATATTGGATATTTGGATCCCAACAACAACAAAAAAAAAACCAGTGGGATCCCACAAGTGGGGTTTGGGGAGGGTAATGTATACGTAAACCTTATCTACCTTAAGAAGGTAGAGAGGTTATTTCCGATAGACCTCGGTTCAAGATCAGTAAAAAGGAAGCAATTAACAAAAAGGAAGCAATTAACAGATAATAGCAACAACAGGTAATAAGCAACGGAAGCAAATGGCAAAGTGTGTAATAATAAAGATTTAGGAATACGGAAAATGCAAGAATGGTGCCAATACTACAGGAGAGTGACGTGCCGTGTAATAACAAGGAACTAGGAATAGGAAAAAGCAAGACTTGAACTAATACTACTGGTAAGACAAGGAGAAGCTCTCGACTACCTGTCAACCCACAACCTTAATTCTCGACATCCACACCTTCCTGTCGAGGGTCATGTCCTCGGCAAGCTGAAGTAGTGTCATGTTCCTGCCTAATCACCTCTCCCCGGTACTTCTTAGGACTCCCCCACCCCTCCGCTAACCCGCCACATTTAGCCTCTCAAACCTCCTAACCGGGGCATCGCTATCTATGCTCTTCACATGCCCGAACCATCTCAGCCTCGATTCCCGCAACTTGTCTTCCACATGGGCCATGCCCACCTTGTCCCTAATAACTTCATTTCTAATATTTTGGATCCCATGAATTAAATTTCAGTACAGATGTCAACTACCAATAGCTAAGCCTAAAGAGCAAGACACAGTACACTTTAACTAGCTAAAGAGTAAGACACAGTACACTTTAACTAAAACGTCTTAATAACAATAACACTATTTATGGAATGTGTAAAATAGGTGGTTCTACCTCTGTGCCGCGTCTCACCATTTTGAAACAAGAATCAAAATAGAAAGTGAAAGCCATAGGAACAGTAACATCATTAATCTACAAAAAAAATACTAGGAGAATCTGTTCTGGTGATAATGATACTCGGGAGAACAGTAAATAAAAGGGCCTAAAGAGACAAATTCCTCCTCTATATATGATTCAAATGAGTTGTTACCATTGATAAGGTATCGAATTTCCTTTTTTATAAGAAGAGATCTTATCTATATCTGCCTGCATGCATGCATACCTTATAAGGAAAAGGAAAGAAATGCCCATTCGCCATTCTCAAGAGCTTCAGTCACGCGATTTCCTGTTCTGAGTGATCTTTCACTTTCACGGAAATTCGATACAAGTTTTGTCAAATGAGATATTTCCCCTGCGGCCTGCCCGTGGAGGAATGGCAAATTGACAAGACAAGACAGCTGGAGGGTGGCCCATTCCAAAACGTAACAATGACTTTGGGCCAAATAGAGGCCCAAATAACATATTTTTTTACTATATAGAAGAAGGAATAAGCAGGCAGCAGGTCAACATGCCTGCTTGTCCCCGCGAGGGTATTATGGTCACTTCGGTTAAAATGGATTTATAGAAGAGGGAATAAGCAGGCAGCAGGTCAACATGCCTGCTTGCCAATCAGGGATAAAATGAAAATTACTCATTGGGTATGCTTTATTGAGTAATACGTTGTTGCTTCAATTTTGGTACATTTTAGTAAGGGCTTAAATGACGACAGACCACGTGGGGGGCTTTTTGGAGAATTCAGGTGGTCTAATGATGTGATATGGGCCCAGCTGGATGCTTTTAGTGATTTGTTTCATATTAAATGAGTTACTTTCCTTTTTAGTTTATTCCAAAACAAATGACACATTTTTAAATTTGGAAATAATTCAACTTTAAACTCTTTCATTTTACTCATTTACCCTTAACGAGAAGTTTTTATAGCCACAGAAATATCATGACCCCACAAACTTTTTACCCCTTAAACTTTTAAGACCACATGTTTCAAAAGTCTTCTTCTTTTTTCTTAAACTCCGTACCAAGTCAAATTACCTCATATAATATAAAACTGAGAGAGTACATTAAACTAAAATTATTTTAGCGGCTGACAAAAACGGTTTCTGTAGCTACTTATGCATCCCTTCGAACTGTGGTCGTTGCTTTTTGCTAATTGCTTTTGTTTGTAGAAAAGTGGCATTTTTGAGGTGTCGATTATGCTTAAACGATTCTACTACTGTTGATTAAAAATCCAAATTAAGATTTAACAAAATGACCAAATTTTTCACTGACTGTTACAATATTTTTAAAATCTATAATATCTTAGATAAGTTTAAAATTATCATAGAAATATTTTCCAATGCATTAATTTTTCAATTACAAAAACCAAATAACTAAAATAATTCACTAATAAAAATATAATTATGATAGTGAAATATTATATAGCATATATCACTAAACCGCTATCCAACTTATAAATGAACATAATTTAGCAATGAAAATTCAAGTTCCAGTGACACTATTAACAAGTGATAAAATAATATAAAAAGAATTAAATATGTACCAATAATTTACAAGATATCAGTTTCTTCCGTACCAAGTGTCTATGTTTTTTGGTCGAATAAATTACTGTATTGAAAGCAGTAAAGGAGGTTAAGAAGTATCATTACCAACACATACTAATTTCGGCGATGTAGTTCCACATCAAGTATCCATGTTATCTCGCACATGACAACTAACGTTTCATTTTTGTCTAATTTCTTTTTTTTTTTTTTTTTGCTAAAGGGGAGAAAAATAATTTGATACAGTCAAATACTATATAGAAGCTTCAAAATCAAGCATTAAAATAGTTGTTAATTACTCCTACTCAGGGGCGGATTTAGGGGGGCGCAAGGGTGTTCACCCGAACACCCTTCGCCGAAAAATTACACTGTATATATAAGGCAAAATCTGTTTTTATCTCTATATATTAAGTTTTGAACACCCTTAGCACAATCCAAAAGTGTAGTTTAGTGGTCAAGGGAGTTCAAAATCTACATAAGGTCATGAGTTCAATTCCCACTAGCTACAAAAAAAAAAAAAAATTGAACCCCATTAAAACTAACAAAGTATTACTAATTACCTTAATAGGAACCAAGTAGGATAAGGAATTCACGGTTAAATTAACGAAAAAATTATACTAGACCTAAAATTAGCGATATTCATCTCTAAAATCTTATAAAAATAAAATAGTAGAGTAAAACGGAGTCCAACTCAACATAAAAAAAGAAAAACAAGTAATGACCCCTTGTAAAGTTATTTTCCTAATTAATATTTAAATAACTTTAAAAATTATGTATATAAGCTTTTGAGGCATTACATGGTGTCTTACCAGTACATTTAGTAGCTTCCACGGACTTCCCTATGATCAAAAATATTTTAGCTAAATTAATTTGGCATTATGACTTTGAAAAAACAAGAAGGCATTAATTAGTATTTTCCAAATCCATCCTTATCTAATAAATGATCTACAAAATATGACGATATACAAAGAGTAATTTAAGAAGATATAAAGGATTTTAGTTAAATAACGTTTATATTAATACTATTAAATAATTCTCTTAATGAGCATGTCAAAAACTTAGAAGCACTTATTTTGAACGAGAGATGGTATCGTCTGAGAAACTATCCATAGCTATTTTAATAACTTGACATTATAAGTAAAATTTATATTATCAATGCATATAAATTAAGAAAAATTTATGCATGCTGATTAGCAACCTAAATATAGTGTTATTGGGCCCATGCGCAGCATGGGCTACTCATTACCAGTACTCTAAAGATGGAGCAAATAGCACGAGCTAACTAGTTTTCAGACTTGTAATTGAAAATAATTAGCATTTGCAAAGTCATTAAAAAATAATTACTACTATTTTGCTGAAACACGGAAAGTCCTGGATTATGGAGCTCATGCATATAAACTTCTCGCATATTATGTTGGAACTCTATCACACAAAAAGTTCCAGCATAATATGCCGGATTATGGAGCTCCTGCATATAAACTTTCAGCATATTATGTTGGAACTCCAGAACATTATAGTGGAATTTCATATGTAGAAAATTCGAACTCCAGCATATTATGCTGGTATTTTTCCGGATTTTTAAGGTTATTTTTGTTTAGATTTTATATTTACATAAAAAAATAACTAAATTTCGATTACTTTTTAAATTATGGCTATTTTCTAATTACTAATTGAAAATTTGCCTAATTTTGATTCCCCCCCCCCCCTAAAGAAGAAATAGACGCTATAAGCCACGGGAGAATGAAACAAATAGGATCATTTGGTGCCACCATTAAAATTTTGAGTAAAATATAAAATTGATCGATCGACCAAAATTATTTATATTCGCTAGCCAAAATTATATAAATATATGTAATTTTTTTTGTATATAATGCACATATATAAAAAAGATATTTTATCGACTATTATTTTTGAGAGTGGACAAAAATAAATATTTCTCTAAAAATATTTACCTCTGTAAGAAAAGTTTTTGAAAAATAGTTTGTGGTCAAAATTATAAAGCACACTGATCAGAAATTCTTGGACAAGTCTTATGGTGATTCCTCAAAATTCTGACGGTTGCCATAATTTGCGAAGTTATGGTGATCATCACAAAATTTTGATGCTTGCTGTATCTTTGTTCAATTGGCTACAAAATTCTAATCAATCAACAGAATTTTTCGAATTATGATTGAAAATTCTCGTGATCGTCGAACTTGCTAGCATCAAAATTCTGACTAGTGTGCTTTAAAATTTTGACCAACGTAACGTGCTTTAATTCTAACACGGAACTATTTTTCAAAAACTTTTCTTAACAAAGTCGGAATATAAACAATAGTAATTTTTAAAAAGTTCATCCATCGTCATTTCCAGTTAATCCAAAGTGATCTCATTTGCCAACTATAGTAATTACTCCATTAGAGCAAAAGTTTATCCTCATGAACGTCAGAAGGTTGTCTTCGGCGGAATTATCGACGGTCAGCCGTCGAAAACGATTAGGACGACGTTTTTTCGAACACTGGTAATTCGTCTGTATTCTTTGTTCTTGTTTACCCTTAAAATCGGATAACAGTTAAATTTATAAGTGGTTGTAAGGATATGTGATATCACTTGGCACAAACTGATAAATATGAGAATTAATGTTAGGAATTAACAGTAAAATAAAGCAAACCAATATGATGAACAACAGTGACCCTCGAGCTAAACCGTCATCGGACCAACTGAGTATACTTAATGGAAAGTATGAATTGAATAACAGAGTTTAAGAGAAAAAATGTAATATATTGCCTTTTTATGCGTGAATATGATGATTACAAAATGATTAGAACCTCCTTTATATAGTAGAGGAATTCTATTTATGGTACAATTCAAAATACAGAAGCAAATCTCATGATAGACTAAATAAACGGTCTTGATTCGATGCGTGCCAAGATTTCCGCCACGATCCTTGTCTGATCACGGATATCTCGGCTTTCCGTTAGTCGACTTAGCTGGCTCTCTTCAACCTCGCTCGATCTCTATCGCGCTTCGGTCTCTACCATGGCTGGTCTCGATCTTGATCGGTGTTACACCTCCGTTTTTACCCGAAAGGGGATAAGAGAGTTTTTTCAATTAAAGTGACAATAATCGAGACGGGATTATTTATTCAAATTCAGAGTCGCCACTTGGGATAACTTATGGTGTCCCAAGTCACCGGTTTAAAATCCCGAATCGAGAAAGTTTTGACTCTATTTTACAGTCCGCGAAACACAGAAATTCGGGTAAGGAACTCTGTTAACCCGGGAGAAGGTGTTAGGCATTCCTGGGTTCCGTGGTTTTAGCACGGTCGCTCAACTATTATTACTTGCCCTAATTATCTGATTTATTACATGTTTAAAACCTATTGTGCATTTTTTAACCTTTTAAAACCACTTTTAATTACTTAGAATAAACCATAATCGTCGTACGCTTGTTTTGTTTTGGGACACATCGTAAACCACGCTACATGAAATGCATCTGTGGTTTGCGACATGTTTATTTTATTATTAAAGATTTGAAGTTGTAGTCGAGTCACATGAAATGTGCACTTGAATTTAGATTTACGTGTCGTAACCATATCACGGGAACCGTACCCATAGCTACGACAATTTATTTACGCGCCTAAAAGCTTGCCTAACCCTACGATTGTCCAAAAGCTTGATCACACTAAAAGGTTTTCAAGAAAAGTTAACTGAAAAGACATGCTACAAATGATTAAAAATAATTTAATACATCACCAAATCTGCAATTTTATAACCTTGCATTGTGAACAAGACCTTTGGTTATAGAAACTCACATTATCTAACCTTAACCAAAAAGAACTTTCTAAAGAAATGAAACAGGTCTCATTCCAGTAGGAACTGGGGTGCGAGGACTT